GTTGATTCTTGGCTGTTTTCTCATATTTAGAGAGTTCAGTTTGGTGTAATTTGTGCCCATGTTAGAGGTGGACTTTGAGATTGTGTGGCCAAGCTGGGACCGACATGTCCTTCAAGTCTTGGCACACATTCTCTTCATGAGGTCTAGGATGTTCACCTTATTTAAAACTGCATCTGCATGCAATGCTTCTGCTTTGGCTCCTTCTCTCTTTCTCCGGTGCTGCTGCTTTATTACTTGATATGCTTAGTAATGACGTATTTGGATTGTTTTATCTTTCCCAACTAGAATACAAACTGCTTGCATTTTTATTTTTTTACAATCCGTGATTGTTTTTAATTATCTTCTTATTGTTAATAACTTACAAGCTATCTCCTTTATTTTAATCTTTCCATCTAATAAGTTGGCAAAGAGTGCCACTACCAGTCACACATATAGAAGTTCCAGTTCTGTGTGTTTCTGAATGGACTTTCAAGGACAGTTCTGAATTACAACTTAGTCTTAGATTATTAAGAAGTAAAAAGTGAGGTCTAAGTTAACTTAATAGATCAACGATAAAGAAGTGCTAAATACTCTATTTGATGTTATGCATAGACCACAGTACGTGCCTTGCAGTGGTAAAGGGCAGCATCCTTTGACTTAGGGAATTGTAACTGAAATGGCATCAAGTCAAGAATAGACCGTTACTTCTTGATGTTTAGCCATTGCCTGATGTGAATATAAACCATAACACAAGTGAGTCCTTTCATTTCTGAGACAGTGGTTTTGGTTTCCCCAGTGTTTAGACATACTCACATGCCCAGTTATATAAATTTAAGTAGAAAACCGTTCAATAGGTGACACCCCCATTTTGGTGGAAAGTAGAACTTTCAATTATTAAGTCCAATTCTATGTTGAGAAAGGGAGAGCAGTAATAGTACTTGTGCAACTGGAATTGTTATTTTAAAAAAGATCATATCGACTTTACTACCAGTTATTTTTACTTAAATCAGGATGTCCAACAAAACATTGTTACCATTCAAGATCTGAATTTTGGCGTATGAATTAAATTATGGTACACATTAAAAATCACAAGACATTTGTTCTTTAATAAGTAAGGCAGCAGAATTATTCATTAGTAGCCTTTTAAAGATAAGCTGTTAGGTCCACCCTCTCTCCTTTCTTAATTCCAGAGAAGATCATTTTTGTTCCAGGGATGTGTTTTTTGGGATTCTCCAAATACTCCATCAGGGTATACTCTCCCCAGGTGATGCCTTTGTTCTTGTTGGCATCTGTGTACGAGAATCCAGCATCCCGACCTGTCTTCCTCCCGAACAGACCATGGAGATCTGGTCCAGTCTTACGCTCGCCTCCCTTTTCCACGGTGTGGCACTGGGCACACTTCTGAACAAAAGAATTCACTGCAGCCAGAAGACGGACGTCCCGCTCTCTCTCTCTCTCTCGGTTTTTATTTTTAGTCAGTATAGTTCAACCTATTAAAATAGTGCCCAGCACAAAGTGATCAGTCATTCAGTAAATACCTGTGAAATTGAGGATGTTTATGTGCCCTCTGAAATGATTCCTTATCTGACCTGGGTGCCTGGTGGACTGGGTGGAAGCATCTGTAAGGAGATACAAGTTACCTGTCTAGAAGTCAGTGTTCTTGTAGCTGAGCAAGATGAAGAAGGAGCTGAGGGGGTCACTGCTGGGTTTCATCTAGGTGAGCTTCTTAACGATCCTATGGAGCACCTTGTTACCAACATTAGATGAGGTGACAGCACTTTGAGTGTTGTTTTATCTTTTTATTTTCTAGTGACAAAAGAGACTTACAGAAGAGTGTAATAATGCCAAGCTTAGTGTTCACAGCATCGGGCATGGGCATTGGAAGGTGCCTGTGATGAGCACAGTTAAACTGTCTTCAAGAACTAGATTCTGAAGATGCCTTTAACAGGCATCCTGGTAGTTGCTGACCTGATCACCCTAAAAGGAAATTAGGGTTAGGGGTCAAATGTCTCATACGACAGACCAAAAGTCCCTGTAGTCATTCTTATTTTTACAACATGAAAGTAATTCACCAAAAGGTGTTTGAACCCCTGACACAATTACATTTTTACTTTTGTTTTACATGTTTGGGGTGTATGCCTGTACGCCACTTGCATGCAGTGTTTGTGTAGGCCAGAAGAGGGCGTTAGATCCCCTGGAACTGGAGGTAACAGGCTGTGAGCTGCCGTGTGGATGCTGGGGACCGAACCCGCTCACCACTGAGCCATGCCTCCAGCCCCAGCCCTTACTCATTTTCAGTGATGTGTGGCGTCTCCTTGCCCGTTCTTGAGCTTTGCAGCCTTCAGCATCTGCCACGTGCGTAGTGTGCGTTTCTTTTATCGCTGTTGTGCGTGATGTGGTTCAGTTGCTGAAACAGAGCGCTGCCAGGGCGCTGTGGGGAGCCGCTCGGGCGAGCTTTCAGGTCACACTTGTTTCTACCACGAGACTGGCTGCAGGCAGCACTGAGGAAGTGCACAGTAGTGGCTGTAGCAAGAGCAGGTAAAAGGTCATGGGTGAGTCGGAGCAGTGGACACTGCAGATTACGGTGTGGCATTTCTTCTCTCTCCTTCTGGGCAACAAGGACAGCTTTCCACAGTGAAGCATCACAAGCCCAAAGCGTTTTCACTGCCTTTCAGCAAAGGCTTGTGACACAGAGACGGCCAATGGGAAGCTTGGCAGCCTCTGAAAGCCCCTGAACCCCACTGAACGTGTCTGTCATATGGTGGTCAGGGAGCATGGCAATGTAGAAAGAAAAATCTGAGTTATTTTTAAGAAAGAAACAACTATTTTTGTTTTTAATGCTGATACAGACAAAGAAAACTATACACAAAAGTAAAAAGCTTACTGAATTTTCACAGAAAACCCTCAATTAAATAAAGTTCCTAAAGAAATCCTCTACATACTTTCCAAAGTCTGAAGCCTAGTATGCTTCTTGTCACCAAAATACTCTGGTTTTTTGCTTTGTTTGCTTACAGTGAAAGAATATGTTATGTGTGGTCTTGTTTCTAAATTCTCTGCGTCATCGTTTTATCTGTGATAGTCCTCAATATAGATTAATACTGTACAGTCCTCCTTGCTGCTGTATAGTATTCCATGATGTGAATACACTGTTTATGGCCACTGGTGTGTATTCAAACAATTATATATAACACTTCTATAAGCATTTTAATATGTTGAACTTGCTCTATTGACCAGACTGGCCTCAAACTCACATCTGCCTGCCTCTGCCTCCCAAGTGCTGGGATTAAAGTAACAAAACCACTCTACTCAGCAAATACATAGCAGTTTTGAATAGAACTAGTTATCTGTGTAGTCTTTGGACAGATGTACAGTATAGCGGCCCAGCCAGAGGCTTACTTTTCTTCTTTGCCAGTTTCTTACATGTAGAGTGAACTTTAGTTATTTCCATGTACCATCATCAGTCCCCCTTCCCTCCTGATGCAACACTTCCTCTCAACACAGTCCTCTTACTCACGTCTGCCTTCAATTATCTTTAATAATTTGCCTCTGACTTTCATGTCTGAGTTTAATTATGATTGCTTATATGAGCATGGGTGGGAAGTTATTTCCTGGAACAAGGACAATTTATTAGTGCTACACCACTAAGGAAAGTGATACTCCCCACTAACTGCCAGTAGTCCCTCAAGGAAGAGTGGGGCCTCACGAGTTCCTGTCCACTCTCGACGGAATGTCCACAGGCTGAGTCTTGTGCAGGTCCTGTGTAGGTAAACATGACTGCCCTCAGTTCATGGTCCCAGAGCCTCACAGTGTACCTCTCTATGTCCAGCTGTTAGCATCCTTTCTGCCTTCCTTCTGAGATGTCATCTGACGCTTGGAGGGCATGAGATAGACGTCTCTTATGGATGATCAATTCATTGTCATTTATTGTCAGCATTTTGACCAGTTGTGAGTCTCTGAATTAACCCTAACCCATTGCAATAACAAACTTCTCTGACCAGGGCTGAGAGCAGCACTGAGCTCTGGATACAAACTTAGTATTTAAATGACAGCTTGATAACATGTCCGTTTAGCTAAACAACAGCAGTAGGCGTCCTATTAGGCATATAACCTTCCCATCTGTGGGCTTTTGACCAAGTTTACACTATTGGGCACACGTTTCCTCTTCTGTGCTGGGCCTTGAATCCATTCAGAAATCAATTAGTTATCCACAGAGGTTTATTTCTTTTTTTTTTTTTCAATGTATGTGTATGGTACACGTATACATTGAGAAAAGGGAGTTTCCTTTTTCTCTTTGAGGTCACATCCAGTACTTAGGAAAAAAAAAAGAAGTATGAACCAGGAAGGAGCCCATAGTCTTGATAGTAATGAAATTTATATTATCTTAACTTAAACTTCTTACCAAGAAAGTAGAACAGTCATATAGGAATGAAATTTATGTCTCCTGGTCTCGAACTATAAAAGTGATATTTTTTTAAAAAGTTTTATTTGGAACAGGATAAAGACAAAACAACAGCAAATTAAACAATGACTTGAACTTCAGTGGCTCTTGTTTCAGGATTATGATAACATCTCCATAATTTCTAAAATGACCCTAAATATACTTCTATAATTGTGTACTATATATTTATGCATAGTGGAAATTTCAGCATTCCTGACTCTAAAATCAAGATATCATTCAACTGAAAAATATTGACAGTGCTCTAACATCGTATACTCTCAAATACTACCCGTCTTTAATAATCTATAAAATAATATATGTATACCAAAGAATTATTTTAAAATTGCTTTTTCTGATTTGTTATCAATGAATGTTTGCTTTCTGTATCTGTTTTACCTATATGCTCAGGGTCACATAGAGGCTTACAGGGTTAAGAAGCCATGGGTTAGTAGGTCAAGCAAAGTGGTTAGTATTGCATTGTTATTCTCTCAGTGAGCAGAATTTTAAGTGTAATTCTAGAACACATTCATTATAAACTTATTCGTAGAGCAAAAACATAATTGGGTTTTTTTTTTCTTGTCAGCAACTTGAATTGGTGGAACCAAGTGGCTGGATTCATGTTCCTTTAACTGACAATCATAAGAAGCCAACTCGAACATTCATGATACAGATTGCTGTTCTAGCCAATCACCAAAATGGAAGAGACACCCACATGAGACAAATTAAAATATACACACCAGTGGAAGAGAGCTCCATTGGAAAATTCCCCAGATGCACAACCATCGATTTCATGATGTATCGTTCAATACGGTGACTTGAAAATGGGACAGAAGTGGACTAGAATGTGTTTTTTTCTGTCATTGAATATTATGTCAAATATCGTTAGTGGGAAAGCATGTCCTTTTACAATTTTATATATATTTAAAACATTTTAATTTAGAGAAATACCTTTTGGGTGATACCTGTTTTCTTTATTCAATAAAGCTCATATATTTTATATTGCTAGAAATAAATTTGAAGTCAATCTTTAAATTTTTCTTTATATTAAAAGAAAACTAGTTAAACTGAAAACTTCAAAATGTACATAATTTTTTTACTAGTATGGTTATTACTTCGTATAATGGTTGTTGGGCATTTGGGAACAATACTCTGTTTTCTTAGTATACCTGTAGTAATTTTTAATAGCATAAGATTAACTTTTTACTCTATGTCTAAAATCCATATATGAGTGAGTACATACTATGTCTTTTTATGACTGGTTACCTCACTCAGGGTGGTTTCTTCTAGTTCCATCCATTTGCCTGCAAATTTCAAGATTCTATTGTTTTTTCTGCTGGTTAGTACTCCATTGTGTAAATGTACCACATTTTCTTTATCCACTCTTCAGTTGAGGGGCATCTAGTTGCTTCCACGTTCTTGCTATTACAAATAATGCTGCTATGAACATAGTTGAACAGATGTCCTTGTTGTATGAATGTGCATCTTTTGGGTATACGCCTAAGAGTAGACTTGCTGGATCTTGTGGTAGACGAATTCCCATTTTCCTGAGGAATCTCCATACTGATTTCCAAAGTGGCTATGTGAGTTTGTATTCCCACCAGCAGTGGAAGAGTGTTCCCCTTTCTCCACATCCTCTCCAGCATAAACTATGGATTTTAGACATAGAGCAAAGGATTACCAATTACAATCCACACTGCCAGAGAAGCTAGGAAACAAGGAGGACCCTAAGAGAGACATACATGGTCTCCTGGAGAAGGAGAAAGGGACAAGATCTCTTGAGCTAATTGGGAGCATGGGAAGAAGGGAGAGGGAGTTAGGAGAAAGAGAAGGGGAGAAGAGGACATGAGGGAGCAGGAAGATTTGAGTCAGGAGAAGATTAGAGGAGAGCAAGAAAAGAGATACCATAATAGAGGGAGCCAGTATAGGTTTGTAGAGAAATCTGGCACTAGGGAAATGTTCAGAGATCTACATGGATGACCCCAACTAACAATCTAAGCAATAGTGGAGAGACTACCTTAAATGCCCTTCCCCTATAATGAGATTGACAACTACCTTACATGCCATCCTAGAGCCTTTATCCAGTAGCTGATGGAAGCAGAAGCAGACACCCACAGCTAAACACTGAACTGAACTCCTGGAATCCAGTTTCAGAGAGGGAGGAGTGATGAGCAAAGGGGTCAAGACTAGGCTGGAGAAGCCCACAGAAACAGTTAAAGAAGAGGGAGCTCGTGGACCCCAGACTGAAAGCTGGGAAACCAGCATAGGACTGGTTCAGACTCCCTCCCTGAACATGGGTGTCAGTTAGGAGGCCTGGGCAATCTATGAGGCCTCTGGCAGTAGATCAGTATTTATCCCTAGTATACACGAATGGACTTTAGGAGCCTGTTCCACATAAAGGCATACTCTCGCAGTCTAGACACACAGGGGAGGGCCTAGGCCCTGCTCCAAATGATATGACAGACTTTGAAGATTGTCCATGGAAGGCCTCACCCTCCATGGGGAGCAGAAAGGGGATTAGATAAGGGGCTGGTGTTGGGGGAGGGCAGGGGAGGACGGGAGGGAGAGGGAACTGGGATTGTAAAACAAGCTTGTTTCTAATTTAAATTTAAAAAGATTAAATTTTTTGTAGATGAAATGTAATTTTTTAAATATGTGATCCTTTGTAAACATAATATCAAAATAAACTGGTATTAGATGTTTGATATGAACTTGTCTGTTTAGGTCGTCTGACCCATGCCCGTAATGTAGCATTCTAGAGGCTGGGAGAAGGATTTTGAGTTCCATTCTAGATTGGCCTATGCATTGAGACCCTGTGTTAAAGAGACTGGGGGCTTTAGAAGGAGGAGAGGCCAGTCTGATTTAGAGGATGTAATTGCCTTATCTTCTCTCTTCCGTGCATGAAATATTTGTAACCCCAGAGTTGTGTGTACTCTGACAATATCATGTTAGAAATTACCATTTAATTTGCAGTCTATCTCAGCCCATGTATTATTTATAAGAAGAATTTCATTCTGTGTCTAACTTTATAACATTTTCACAGATAATATTTCCTATGAGAATTTAAAAAAGAACTTTTACTTTTTCTTTTTTTTTTTTTTTGTAGAAAAGAAATGAATGCTGATTGGTTCATAACATGTTGTGCCCTGTATCTGATTGGGATGGAGTCATTAGTCCCAGGACTTCCCTTAGATTCATTGGCTTTAGAAAGGTTGTTCGTGTATTGTTGGGCATATGTAAGTCTAAATCAAGAACGTTTAAATGCAATAGTGTGTTTGTTTTGCTTTATTCTGTATGGTTTATAGTATTCACCTGGTTGCTACTGAAAATATGGTTTCTCTTTCTTTGAGTTCCAAAGTTGTTTGTTTGTTTGTATTATTCTCTTGGAAGTAGGAAGCATGCTAGAGGTCTAGTGTAGGGCAGCTAGAATTTGTAGCCTAACGTAGTAGAGGTGCAGGTGTAGGAGCAGGGTAGAGTAAAGGGCACTGAAGGAGACGTGGGCACTGGAGGGAGGAAAGAGAATGAGAGCGGGCAGTGGGCAAGGCCATCACCACTCACAATAATGTCCCTGCTTACTGATTGCTTTGTTAAAAGTTGGCTTGCAAGCATTAATTATGTACATTAGCCATTAATAGTTTGCTAAGTTAGCATTCCTAAATCAAGAGGAACTGAAAAGGATACCAAGAAAGCCTGTGATTTCCTCCCATATTCATCTATTTTCCATTAAAAAAAATAGCTCTCATAAAGCCCAGGCTGACCCCAAATTTGCCGTGTAGCCAAGGATGCCCTTGAAGTGATCTTTCTGCCTCTACCCCTCAACTGCTGAGATCACAGTCATGTGACGCTATGCCCAACTTTATGTGGTACTGGGGGTGCAAACTAGGGATTTGTTGCATGCTAAGCAAACATTCTGCCAATCCATTTACCTATTTGTCATATACTGTCAGACTGGCCATCTTAGTAGGCATGGGGAATTTAATAGCTGAGGATTCTAGAGGTAGTGGATTCTCTTAACAGTAGTTTGAAGTACAGATGGATGATGTATTATGTTGCTGTAGCCCAACTGTTAAAGCAGTTTCCTGCTCTCAGCCTTGTTCAGAGAAGTGTCTCTTAACAGTGGGCAGAGGGCATTGCAGAGATCCATACCTCATCACTGTGTCAAAGAAGCGATTGTTGAGTGCAGTGTCCTAAATAGGATGTCTGTCTCACCCTTTGCTCCTCTGAGGTTCAGGGACCATCCAGGAGGAGGAGCAGGAGGAGGGTAAGTGCTGAAAGATGGCATAGCTCTGTGAAGTGCAGTCCTCTGAATGTGACATGGCTGACACCCTCACCAACTCACAGCAGCAGTGGCTGCCTGCACAAGACTGGGCACGAACCCAGGAGGCCCCATCACTCTCAGAGGAGCCATAGACCAAGGAAGTGTCCCTCCCATCCTCATGCAGGCCATCCTAGTTAAGTGACACCAAAGGGAAGGAAGCAACATTTGGTGGGGTGGGGAATGAGATAAGGGGCCATAATGAGAGAGACACCGACCAAAGGGGAGGGAGGGAGAGAAGGGGTGCGGGGAGAGAGAGACTATAAACATTTGGTGGGGTGGGGAATGAGATAAGGGGACATAATGAGAGAGACACTTACCAAAGGGGAGGGAGGGAGAGAAGGGATGCGGAGAGAGAGAGACTATAAAAGAATAATTTTAAAAATAATTTCAACTGTGTGTGTGTGTGTGTGTGTGTGTGTGTGTGTGTGTGTGTGTGTGTGTGTGTGTGTTCTGGGATTAAGCACAGGGTCTTGTGTATGGTAAGTACCCTCTGAGTTATATCATCCGGTCTACACTTTTAAAAATGCTCATTTGTGATCTCATTACTTGGGAAACTGAGGTGAGAATTAGGAGTTTCAGGCCCGCTTGTGCTAAACGGACTTTGTCTAAAAGCAACAGCAGAGTGTTGTGGCAGTTTTCTTTGTCCTGTCAGGTCCTGCCACTGCTTCAGCCCCAAATAAACACACGGAAGCCATTATAATTATTAAACTATTGGCTGGTGACTAGGGCTTCTTATTGGCTAGCTCTGTCTTACTTATTAACTACTACTCTATGTATTTCTGCATGACCTTATCTTACCGAAGACCGCCTGGCATGTCCTGTGTTCCTGGGCTCTACACGGCGTCCTCTTTGGTTCACCTCTCTGTGCCTATTTTTCCCAGAATTCTCCTTGTCTGCTAGTCCCGCCTATCTTCCTGCCTCTACTGGCTATTGTCCAAACAGTGTTTTATTCATCAACCAATAAGAGAAACACATTTATAGAAGGACATCCCCCACCAGCAGAAACTAAACATTTTCTGTTCAGGCTGGAGATGTACCTCAGTGGTAGAACATTTGTCTGGCATGTACAGAGTTGTGTGCATAGAAGTGTGCATTATATGTAACAAAGATTTTTATCTAGAATATATTTTTAAAGCCCTTAAAATTCAATAGGAAGAAAGAAATACAATTTAAAATGAGCTAGATTTCATTGTCATTCACCAAGTAAAGCTCTGACCAGCCATTCCGTTCCCATCTACTAGTATTCTCCCATGGGAAGAAAAGTGTGTGTTGTGAAGATGTGGGTGAGCCTGCTCGTCAAAGCTTCATTTCTAATGCAGGCTCCTGTATCCTTTATAGTGCAAGTTTGGACTCCAGGGGGAAATTTTGATATTAAATGATATATTTGATATAAATGTGGCAATCCACATACACATGAGACATTTAAGGGATAGGAACCCAGCTTTTTCAATATAACATGTTTTGTGTACATCTTGCACAATATTTTTATGCAGTTTGTAATGTGCCTGTCACATGCGTCAGGTGTGGAGTTGTTTACTGGTGTCATTCAGGACTCACAAAGTTCCAGATTGTTTCAGATTTCGGACATTGGGATTAGGGATATTCAGTTTGTACTGCAAAACCTCAAGCAGGGCAGCCTACATGTGAATCAGTAGGAAGGTGTGTAAAGAAACTGCAGCGTATCTGTATGGTGAAATAACTTCAGCAGTAAAAATGA